CAAGGCCCTCCTGGACCTCGCCCACTAAGGTCTCCCCAGGGACCACCACCACCAGCACCACCACCAGGCCCTCGCCCACCAAGGTCTCCACAGGGACCACCTCCACCGGCACCAGTACCTCGCCCCCGCAGGTATATCCATGGGCCACCCCAACCAGCTTCTCCACCTAACAACTATTGGCTTTTGAAGCAATAATCACCGATACGAAGAGGCCGCCTAAGGAAGCTGAGGTTTTAGCTTAGCTCTGCATTCTGCGATCAACCGATCGATGGGACTGTGTCGCCGTCTAGCTGTCGAGCCACGTTGAGCCTGAGCACCGCCCCTCCTGTGGCTTTTTTCCTGATTTGAGTAAACTTAAGCGGAATACAAACGTTAAAAGTTTTTGAATGTTTCTTGACTGTCCTCAAGACTGAAAGTGTCTCTACTTCTCGCTACCTTTTCCCACTGGCCCACCGAGGCCCACATGTAAATGAACTCTTAAAAAGCAAATCTCGGGTACGTCCATACTACCACCATGCCCACAGAGTTTCGCATTGTTTGATCTTGTCCCTCAAAACCGGCTCAAAACCCTAGCAGAACAGTCTTTTCACTCTACTTCAGTCCAGTAATCCTGTCCTTAGTGAAGAGATGGAAGCTTTCTGGGTCGAGGTGAGGGATTCATCGATCTTTTCGTTTAGGTGCCCGGATATTGCGGTTCGGGTTCGGTTTTTTAATTTGAGTCCTAATAACGGCATGAGTTGAGAGCAAAAGCTAGTCGTCAGCGATTGCGAACATTGCAGGACGAGCAGCGGCGGAGCGAGTCCGTGTCGCGACTGCGGTGGGTTAGGTTGTGGGGGGAGGGGTTGTTGCGCTGCCGGTGCTTTCCGCCCAGCGGAGTGGCGTGGAGGGCTCGGCTAACAAGGTGATTAACAGCCCTAAACAAAGTCCTCGGCGAAAACGACTACTCCTGCCGTGGCCCCTGCCGCTCCCCTTTGATGGGCTGCTGCTAGGTGGGGTTGCCCCGCACATGTGTGGTGTGGCGACCGTAGCAGGGATGTAAAGACATGTATGCGTATCTCCATCATGCACACCAAGTGTAAAAAGATGTGCAACTATTTAACTCCCTAGCCGTACACTTGGAATTCGTGCATTTTTGAACCGTGTAACTTCTCTGCGGAATTATAACTTGGACATGACGCCTATAATGTCCGAAGTGCTCAAGGATAGTTTTTATTCCACCACTACCAAGTTGAACATTTGCAAGTGCACAACAGCGGAGTTGAACACTTGCACGTATACAACTTTCGAGCGGAGCAGACTTATCAGTGTATTGCGGTCTTTGTGTAGCAAAAGTGTTTTCGAAGAAATTGAAATGTTACCCTATACATGTCTTCATAGTACTTCAAGTAGAATTCATGGGCATGCACACATTTATAATGGTAAAAGAGTCATGTTACCTTGTTTGAATTGTACCATGTGGTACACAATGGACAGAGTAATTCAACCATTTTCATTAAACCTCTTAACTGGATGGTTGACGACTTCATCGTATGGTTATAACATTCTTTCAAAATTCAACCAGCAACCAAACAAGTTCTAATTAGTTGGTCTTGCTTTGCCGCTGGCACCCGCACCAGGCCCCGCCCCCCGCAGCCTTTAGGAGTCACAAGCCAACTTTTGCGCTTACTTGACGGAAAGTGATATTGCGCCATGCGGCAAATGGAAGCACGGCGGCAGCGCAGCGTAGAGTGGCGGCGCGTTGCGGAGCGGAGCCGTGCGCCCGTGGCGTTGGGGGTGGAAATGATCATTAACCTGTTTATCCCACTTTTCAGCATGCGCGTTGCCCGCCCTATCTCGCCGACGCGCAGTTTTGCGTGTTGTGTTGTGTTTGCTGTGCCCGGCTGTGCCCCCGCTCTGAATTTTAATTATTTTGAATGCATGGACACTTTTTTACAATTCGATTTAAAACTGTTGTAAGTATCAGGCTTCTAAACTTTTATCCCACTTGTCAGCACCAACTCCGTACCTGCACGTTTAGTTCTGCTGACGGACGCCCTTTTTTTTATTTTATTTTTTTATTTTTTGTCCGGGTATAACCCGGCTGTGCAAGGTGCAGCCACCGGCGCGGCTAAGTGCGCGGGGAACCTAATTGCCGTGCTTTGTCGCACAACAAACTTAGATAGGCCCGTCGGCCCGCCCCTCCCCGCCTGCACCCCGCCCCTAAATCCGCGTGCCCACGCCCCGCCATGCCCCGCCACGCCACGCCCCGCCACGCCCACGATGCTCGCGCTGCCACCACCGCGTGATCCCGGCCGGGCAATTATGCGGGGCGACGAGGCGCGTCACCGTCAGCCTACACCGCGGAAAAGGGGGAAATGAATTCTTGTGCCGACAAAAGAAGAACACGTGCATGCTACTGGTATTCCGGTATTCCATTTTGTTTTAAAAGTTGTCCGCATTCGTTCTCGTACGATATCCACAACACTAACCAAGGAGAATGGAATAACGCACACGGCACTCTTGCTGCTGCCCCGCTACCCTTTCCACCGTGGTTCTCTCTCTCTTTCTCTCTGTTTGTCCCCCTCTGTCTCTCTGTGTCCCTCTCTGTCTCTCTCTGTCTCTCGCTCGCTTGCTCTCTCTCTGTATCTCTGTTCCCTACCTACCACCCACTTCCCCATTTCTCCATACTGCTCCCGCTCTCTCTTGCGCGCGTCCCCCTGTTGGTGTTGCCGGCTGTTGTATTCAGACTCGTTCTCCCCGCTTCACTTCTTTCCAAATCCTCATTTAATTTTAAAAGGCGGCGGTTTCATCGCCCCCCCTCTCTCTCTTGCGGTCCCTGAATTCTCCGCCTCTTTCTCCCCTTTCTATTCCCTATCTCCCCTCTTTCTCTCACACACCGCACCCATCCCTCTCGCTTCCTCCCCAATGTGTGACCGCAGTACAGGGGCGCCTAGTGGAGGAGGGGTTTTATTGTGGTCAAAGACGCACAGTCCGGCACCGTCCGGTTGGTTGCCTCTTCCCTCCCTACCCTGTCCCTCCCATGCACACGCTTTAAACTAAACTCTTACTTTCGGCTGACGGCATTGTTTTACCGGTGTATGAATTCATTCCAAGATGTTTTGTTCTTTTTGAAGTTTATAGAAAAAGATGACACGTACACCACTGCATGCTGCATACCCTAGTGTGGTTGGTGTCGAATATTGCAAAAAAGCACAACGCATAGTTTGACTAGGCAATAGCAGTGAAAGCGAAAAATATTCTCATGTCGTCTTGTTGTCCGTGATTACGACTCAACAGGCGGGCCCACGCACCGCCGCGCCGGCATTCTCCATTCATGAGGTAAGCCCGCCGAGCACCAGTGTGCCGGGCCTTACCACGTCATCAACAACAACAGTATCAAGTAACAAGAAAAAAAACAGTCTGCCTCGGGAAAACAGCAGAGGATGTGCGCGTGCGGTAAACCTCTCAATTTTCGAAACCATCCTCCCGCTCTTTCTAAAGTGTGTTAGACTTGGTTTTTAAACTTACGACGGGAATTGATAAGAGTTTGCCCTGCTTGCTTGGCGTGTGCCGAGAGCCGTGACGCTCCGGCTGCTGGGCTGGACGGAAGTCCAATTAGGACGGGGATGTTTATCCTGGCTAATGAGTCTCAAGAACCGAGACCGGGCCAGGTCGGCCTATCAGGCCCTCGCTACGCCCCGCCACGTCCCGCCACTCCCTGCCACGCTCGGCAGCGCACCCGACTAGCAACAGCAGTCCGCCTCCTGACATTCCAAAAGCAGCGTGGAAGGATTAGTGGTGAAGCACGATGAATGCGGTCCGCTGGTGTTTGTGCCGCTGCCCCGCGGTTCCCTGAACGGAATTCCAGGAAGGGGGGAAGCTCGTCCACACCACACCGCCATCATCGATTTCAAGGCCACGTGTTCCTGGAGAACAGGGGGTGGCCCTGTGGAAGGGGGCGAATGAGAACACGTGGCCAGGTACGGCGAACGCTTCCGAGAAGCCTCTCCGCCTGAAGGCTGAGCTCGGCTCGCAGACGGTATCATACGGCTGCGCGTGTGTCTCTCCCTCTCGCCCCGAGATTCTCCCAACCCCCCCTCTCCGCCCAGACTCAAGGGTATCTCGAGCGCGCGCAGATGGAGCGCTAACGCTCGGCCCGTCTCGGGCCATTCGACGTAAGTAGCCGGACAATCTCTGCCCGCGCAGCCCCTCTGTTACCTCCACGCGTTCCCTCCGCCCACTTTTATCCTGCTCCTCCACTTCACACATCCTTCGGCCTCTCTCCGGTACGACGCCCCCCCC